TGTGACACCCTCACTTTAGTCCTACATAGACTAATAAGAAGAACTTTTAGTGACTTAAATAGAGAAAAGCCTAAGACCCAAAACAACTAGTGCTAGTATTTTGACAGAGGATTTTAGGCAACATCGAGTTGTTCTTAGCGCGTCCCACGACTTGCACGCGCCAATAGAACCCTCGGGCTCAGGGCGTGACAAATGATTTCAGAACAGTTAGCCAGCTGGAAATGTGGAGCTAAATATTATACGGGACTAAGTGATACACCGCGTGGATGCGGTGCGAGGCAACTCTAGAGCCCGTAGGAGCCACCTCTAGAATCCACATCGTCTTGCAAGTGACACCGGGACATGCTAATTATCATGTCGAGATGACGAGAACATCGTCTTTGTAAGGTGGGGTGATTGTGACACCCCCACTTTAGTCTCCCATAGACTAATGAGAAAAACTTTTAATGGCTTAAATAGAGAAAAGTCTAAGACCCAAGAACAACTAGTGCTAATATTTTGGCAGTGGATTTTAGTCAACATCAAGTTGTTCTCGGTGGGTCCCACGGCTTGCACGCGCCAATAGAGCCCACGGGCCCAGGGCGTGACAAAACCCCTTCTTTATATATATATGTATTAGAAATAAGTTCCTCTACCCCCATCATATTCTTTCCTTAATATGCTTGCTATGTCACCTGCTCTCGGAATAACCTGATGTCATTCTTGTAGCTTCTCTCAACCGATCAGTTAGGTTATGATATTGTCAGGACATAAATCCATATTAAGAAAAAGGACTTCAATTTGCTGCTAAGACTGTGAACGTGCTTTAGTTAAGATGTCCCAAATAAAAGCTTTCTCTTGCAATAGGTCTTCATATTGTTTGTAAAGTTAGGAACATGGATGGCAGGTAATGAATGTTGGATGATATCGTCATTTGCTTCTTCCTATATTCATAGTTTAAGTTGTCTTTTATGAACCTGGTCTACTACATGTGCATCTCACACATCGTTGAGTGCCTCCATGCGCTTTACCTTTGCATATTTCTGTGGTTTGGTGGTAGAACAAGAGGATGACAACAGGAAGAGAAAGAGACAGGAACATATTATGTGCCTGTCCATGTGTTGTGAGCTGCGTTTGATAATAGGATCTTTTGGGAATCTGTTCATTGGACATCATATTCTCTTTTGCTCCAATTGCTCGATGGAGAAATCGAATGACAGTTCAATAAAGTTAGAAGCCAATAGACTGTGGTATTATTATCACTCCTCTTTTTTGTTTTTTTTTTTGGGGGGTGGTGGGGGGGGGGGTGGGGAATCATGTGGCTATCCGGATAGCCTTGACGGACAAGTGTATACATGCAACCTGTAGAGACCAAATGCAAACTTGAATCAGAATTGCATTTAGAGAGATGAGAAACAAGTATGTAGCATGTCTGCACTGGACTTTTATAGCATGCGATATTTAGAAATTTTGGGAATGGGATGCAAGATTTAGAATTTAAATTTTGGGAATGAGAGGGGTATTCGTTTTGTCACCATGAGTGGAAAAGTTTCTTTAAGGTTGATCAACATGGGCGTGCGTGTGCATGTGCCTGTTGTGTGAACATGTATGCATGTGCATACATGTGTGTGCGCATGCACGCACACATGTGTCTGTATGTATGCGCCCATCTGATTCTATATATATTCATGCGTATAGGTGTGCTTGCGTTCGGATGTGTGTGTTTATGTGTTGGTGCGTGGGCGTGTACAGATGCAGCTGTTGGCTATGCAGGGGCAGGATGTGTGTGTCTGTGCATGTGCAGTTTTTTGCCTTCTAGTCCTGTAAATTATTACAGTGACATAAATTAGTAGTGCTTCAAAAGCTCATGTTAGTACAATCTATATAAAGTTCCATGCTTTGATACACAAATCATTGTGCTTTTAATGTTAAAAAGACATTGAATTGTGAGGGATGGAAGCTTGATTACTTAAGGAAGGATTTGAAGTTGATCTTTTCCTGTCAATTCAAACTCCAATCCATTGAAATTGATTTTATTTAAAATTCCTAATTGCGAAAATTTAAACTAGTTTAATTTTATTTGATTATGATTCAAGGTGCCAATTCGTGAATTATCACTCCAAATTACATATCAGTTATGTCATTGGATATGATATGGTGCAGAAGCTACTTAGAAACAAAAATTCAACTTAATTTCGATATGTTTTACACGTGCATTAAATGACAACAAAGTTCAATGTTACACGATTCCCCATAAAAATTGATTTTTGTGTCTAGCTTTTTCTTTTTAATTTTTACGATAATATAGTGGCTGATTTACTACTTGTGGAATTTTCTGGTTCATTCAGCTGATTTTTGATGCTTTTGCAGGGTTGACCTCTGCCATCAGGCAAAAGATGAAGAAGAAGATGAAGAACATGGTATCAATGAATCTTTCTTGGAAAAGACAACGACTAAGCACGGTTTACTGCAGCATGATGGTCGTAGGAGATGTTGTTCCTTCCGAAACATTCATGTTGGAAGCCGGCAGAAGTTCGTTATTTTGGTAATTATGAACTTTATGGTCCTCCTCTTATTTTTCTCTTACAAAATTATATCATCTGGAGTACGAATAAATGTCATATGCCTTGACAATCACGACTTGAGGTCTCGTCAATTAGTTGTCTGATATCTAAAAGAATTAATATAACATTTATCTGCTATATTTGCAGGTTATTGTACTGACTTTTGTGTTGATGATCACATTTGCTCTGCTTATCTGGAGTGGTAGAGGGAAAAATCCTATTGATTCCTCTCTTATGGCTAGGGTATGTACTTTTGTAAACTTAATTCCTTAAATCATATATCTTCTCACATCTTCAAATTTTTTTCGGGTAAAGGGATTATTGGATTAATCTTTTCTCTTTCATTGCCTAGTTATACATGCTATATTTAGTGGCACAGAATGAATCAAACCAATTAAACTTTTATGCTATATAGTTTGGGTGAATAATTATTGAGAGCATTATTTTGGGGGGGATGACAATGAAAATGCAATTAGCAATGTTATGTTGCATTTTTGTATCCTTCAAAGAAGTTGATATCTGTCAAACTGCAAGGCGTGCATCCTAAAAAGCAGTTGCATGTAATATTCTGTAGATCAGGTCTGTAGTGTCAGTGAGCTTAAAGGCATCTTATCATAAATCCATGTAACGTGTTGAAGCAAGGGGTCCTAAGGAGATTACTAATACTTCTGAAACAAATTGACTGGCTTTTCTTCCATGCTTCTGGGAAGGAAATTATATAAATCACCTGTACTTATAGAGTGCTACTCTTTGTGGAAGAGAATCAGGCTAATTAAGAAATTAACATAAACTTCAGTGTTTGTTCCCCCCCAAAAAAAATTCTTTATCTTACTTTAAAAAAGAATGAAAGAATGGGGAGGAGAAAGAAGAAGAGGGGGGGGGGGGGGGGATTTTACTGTTCATGGACACCCGAGCACTATTTGTCATCACTTCTGTTCCGCATCATCTTTACTGAAGAAACTGCCATCAACTTACATGCACTTCTTCATAAGAAACCGATCCAGCAAAAATCATGCAACATGCAAAAGAGATCTTTTTATGACCAGTTGCCCATATTTCATTTCCCTAGCTGAATAATTAACCACGGAATTTAGTTTTAACTAAAAGGTTATTTAAACTAAAAGATAATATGTAAATTAGTTGCAGTCGAAAGTAGAGATAATTATAAGACTTCACTGAAAACATCATATAACCTACAAAAAAGTCATTTCATAGACAACTAGTTATGTTGTTGGGCGGGCGTACACGATTTGACAACAGTGATTAATAATGCTTAGAAACTAAGATATATTTCAATTTTTTTTGTCATGCCAAGTATATTTCTGACTGTACAAAGAAGTCTCAAGTAGCATATCGAAGTCATCAGCTTCGTACATCTAGTACAGTTGTTAAATGGAAAAGCCTCTGCGATCAGCTGGTGTTCAGCTTGATATGGTTGAACAATTAATGAGAAAAACTGATTTCGAAACTAGTTACTATTCAAATTTCTTTTTTTTTCCTCTGAAGTCTTTTGCATTATGCAGGTTTATCAAGACATTTTTTCTGTAGCTATGCTTCTTCTAGGAGGTGCTTTGGCTTGTTATGGTAAGTTGCTTGTAACTGGAGATAGCTGTGCCTGATTTGACAGGCTACTCCAATTATCTGGGTGAACAACTTTCACAATCTGTGGAATTTTAATTCTGTGAATACTATTTCTTTATTTTATTCATCTAAGTATAATCTTTATTATGCAGTTAGATTAGCAGAAATCAGTGGAGTTCCTTATTACAACATCATATTTGTTAATGGTAGTATCAATCTTTAAGTTACAACCTATCTGGAATGGTGTCTTCGAACTTCGTTGATTCAACAGCTCACTTCTGAGTTCTGTTGTGGTTTTAGGAGTACGTGCTGTTGCTGGCACGTTTTTCTTTGAGAATAAATTTGCCATATATAGATAATTTAAGTGGTTCATTTTCTGGAATTAAACAATATGATATGATGATAAACTGCGTGCTTTTCTTGTGATTTTCGATCGTTTAAGCAAATGTAAGAATCACATCAGTTGCATTGACATTCATGTTCTAGATACTGTATATCTGATTAAAACATTGCACATTTGATTGATTAAACTGCCATCTGATCTCAGTGTTGTGCTGACTAATAATTGGCCTCAGAAGATGATGTGTTTTAAGATCTGATTTTCCTACCTCTTTGTCTTCTGGGTTGTTTGTTAGTTGCATGATCTTTTTTTGGTACGAATGGTAAGTTTTATTCAATACCAAAGTTTGGAAGATAGATACAAACCCCCTCAACAAGACTATACTCAACTGGAACAACCAGAACCCTCCCAATATCATTGTATATCGATACACTTTGAATTGACACCGTGAGATCATCAAAAACCTCCTACGAGCACTTAGTAGCATCATCTATCATCACCCAGAACAACAGAGACAAACCCTTGCAAACTGAATCCGTATCTGGAACTTTGCATAATCTACGCATGCTTTATTTTCTGACTACAAAAATTGGATGATTAGAGAATCTGTTGCACCATTCTCTATTTGTCATAGGATCTTCCATATGTGTAATGCTACTCAATTGAATTTTCAAATAAAATTTGATTTGCTTCACAATTGCTTGAATATCGGGTTTGACCTTCTTAAAAATAATTGCATTTCTAACCTGCCAAACATTATACACACATGGTGCAATAGCAGCTCTGTTGAATTTAGTAATGACTCTATTGCCTCCACTTCCTAATGCCCCAGTAAATCAATTTGTTCTATCTCCAGGGAACTGGAATATTATATACGAATTCTGCAACTTTCTTCCATAAGAATTTGCTAAAGATGCACTCAAAAAATAAATGCTCTCAGGATTCATCGGTCTGCATACATAAAGGGCAAATTGGATAAACTGAAATCCCTCTTCTTTGGAGATAAACTCTAGACAAAAGCCTATCATGACAAGCAAGCCACAAGATAAAGGAGTGTTTAGGAGTATTCACACTACAAACAAGCTTTCTTCAATTAACTTTCTCCCTAGATTGCCTCAATTTAGGAATCTTCTTGAGACCCCAGGATTGATTTTTCTTTATAGGCATCTCCCAAATATTACCATCTTTTATATATATTTCACTAATTCACTTAACCCATAAGCTATCATTCTTAAATGCAAGAGCCCATATATGTTTCAACATCATTGCAGAATTAGCAACATTAGGGTCATGAAATCCCAAACCTCATTGAGTTTTATGTAAACATAATGTTTTCCATGCAACAAGAGGCATTCTCTTTTTATTCTCACCATCTCCCCGTAAGAAACTCCTGCAAACCGTCTCCACTTCTTTAATAATTTAATTTGACAATGATTTTAAAATATTAGGGAAGGTAGTTTCGACCTACCTATCCAACGACCTTGAAGGGTTTTGTGGAAAGGGCATTACTGGCTCACAGATACCTTACCACATGTGCTTAAAGTTGCAGTACTACAAATTTAAGACTAGCTGAATACAGTGTTATCTATACGCTTCAAGTTTTATTGTTATCAGCTTGTTAGACTTAAAACCTGAACAATTGGAGATGAGTCCCAATGACACTTTAGTCACAGGATTAGAATGATCTTAAAGTGCATACTAACAAAAGGTAGGTTCTTCCTGCTCTCCCACTGGGCTTAGAAAGTGTGCAAGGCTGCTACCACCTCATAGTTGCCTAGCCTGCAGGGCCTTCATTTTTTTTCATAGAAGACAAAGCAATAAATTTAGGTCTAATTCATTGAAAATATTACTACCTAGGCACTTCAATATTCAAATTTTAGTTTTCCGTGCGTGTTAGAGTGGGGCACTTGGACAAGTGGGGACACATTCCGGTGACATTTTAAGTCACAGTAAATTGATGATATTACCATCTATCTCAGTGTTGGATCTATGATATGCTAGATTGAAGCTAGTTGAAGTTTAATTTATTTTCACTTATCTGCGATCAAATTGATAAAGTGTATTCCTCTATAATAGATAAGGCATTTGGATTTACTTTTATATAATACAGTGGCGCCTATGCATGAATTTATGGACGTTTCCAGTCGCGGACACTTGTCATGTATCTATATAATATAACAGATGAAGAGGGATTAAGCTCTTGAGAAAAAGGCTGATACTTTAGAGACAACCCCATTTTGATAGAAAAAAGTTTTCGTAGTGGATGGTGGAGTGTTGAAAAGGGCAATGTTTAGTTTATTTTGGTTGGGAGATATTTTTGACATTTGAGACGTTCTGGGACATTACATATTTATTTATTTAAACTGCTCTTTCCTTATATTGCGCTGGTGTTCTGCAATCCTCCTTGTAACGTCTGGTGCACATTACAGAGTAACATGTATGCCGCAAAGCTCTTTGGAATTATTTTTGTTAGTAAAAGAAGCACTTGGGTTTAATGCGTTCAAAAGCTTTAATACAATGATGTAAGAATCTGAAGGGACCCAGTTTGTTCTGTTCTGACATCTTGAGCAGACAGAACCTAGCATGTGGATAAAATGTTATCAAAAGGCTTGACGGTGTTCTAAGAACCTGAAATAGCAAACTCACTCTTATCTCATTAGGCACCAAGCAGGCGTATTACTCTTTTGCACGACTGTTGAAACGAAAATTCCCAAAAAAAGTGTATTGATTTGTATATTGTTTTTCAATCTTTGAATCCTTACAAACATGCAATTTTTCGTGAATTAGCTGGTCAACAAATAAGTTTTCATCCTTTACAATCATGAGCTGGCCTTCCACAGTAACCAGGTTGATGTGATTATAACATCTGTTTGGTTATTTCTAGTTGTAAAAATCTGCTTCTCTTTTGCTCTTCAACTTACCTTGTGTACCATGATTCCTTTTGTAATTACTCCTCTTTTTGTGCCAATCATTTATGTAAGGAAAGGGCACAATTCATGATTAATATTGCATGTGTACTTACTCATGGAAGCAACAACAGTATGAAAGTTCATTGTTAATTTTTCTAGAGTGATAATCTCGACCATATATTACTGAAGCAATTTTTGTAGTTTCCTTTCTGTTTCATCTTGACCTAAGCATGCTTTTTGTTTCCTTGTTAAGGCTTTTTGTTATCCTCGAAAATGAGCAAGGTACGATCTGAAATGGCTTCAACAGAAATGTGGAAGGTATCACTCATTTACTTTCTCCTCCCCATGTTATAACTTGTTTTTTATGTTTCCTCATTTATGTCAAATTACATTTTCTTTGCATCACAATTTGTTAATGACTTCTGAATATATCTTATGAAAATTTTCTTTAGATCATCTATCTCACATGATGCCAAAATCCTGACGTTTCCTTGTATGATTAGTTTGACTCCAAGTAAAAATGTTAAGTGTAGAATATATCCCTTCAAGTTATTTGGTTAAAAATGATATGGTTTTTCTGTTAAATACTACAGCTGTTTGTACACACAGAATAAGTTCAGGAATATAGAAAGGAACAGTGACTACATGTGTTGGTTGTTCTTGATATAATTTAGTAGTTATTCATTTTTGCAGTTTTCTGCTGGATACTTTTCAGATGTTACATCATAAAGATATTAGTACGTTTCAGATTGTTACTATCTGGTTGTATTTAGTTCCTTTGCATGCAATAAAATTAGCTTTAATCAATAGTATTGGCATCATATTTGGCCTTTGCAAAAGAATACAACTTCTGTTCTTGGAGATTTATATATCCGTTACCTGGAACTTATGTACGTAACCCATTTTTTATATTATCTGCAGGTTGCAAGTTTGGCTGCAGTAACTCTTGTATGTTTCACATCATGTTCAATACTGGCTCTTGTTACCAATATCCCTGTATGTTAACCATGTAAAATCACTTTTTACATTTTTAGGTTTAGACCGTAGTGAAACATGCATTTACCCATCTTTTGAACTTTCATATTGTGCATGCTTCCAGGTTCTTTACTACTGGCATTCAGATAAGTCAGTCAGCATAATCTGCTCGGTTTTCATATTTCTGTATTACTTTATAGGTAAACCTTTCTTACAGATATTTCTGTAGTATAAATGATAAATCATGCATGTCATCCGCTTATGGGTTAACAAATAACTTGTTGCACTGTGCTAGTGGTGAAAATATACTGTAGTTGTTTTTAAGAGCTTGGTTTGTTTGAGTTTGTGCGAGTCTTTATCTTCTTCTCTTTGTTCTCCTTTTACTTGTTCTGGACAGCAAAAACCATCAAAATCCATGGACATTCTTTCGTTAACAACTATCAGATTTCTCTCGTATTTCAACTCAATACTTTGGCCACACTAGTTTGGTATATGAGCATCAGATCTGAGCTTTCTTCATTAACTTTCTCTTCTATTTTAAGTGCAATGAACTTCACCTTCTAACTTCTGAAATGTCTCATGAGTACTCTAGTGATACCAGGTTATATTTACAGGAAAGAAATAAGATATAATTACATAGTTTTCTAACGCAAGACTCTTATATTAATTAACTACTTTTGTACTCTCAGTCAAGCTGGCCATATCAGTCACTCCTAGCTTGTTATGTAAAAACAGAGGCTTTTCTTAGGCAATGAGTTCGTTGAAGAATCACCAATTAGACTATTCAGTCTGACATATGAAGTGAAAATTTTCTTGGTCTGCACTACATCACAAATAAGTGATAACCAATCTCATATGCTTGGTTTTTTTTAATGTAAAATCAATTTTAGCAAATTCGGTAGCAACTTGATTACCGCAATGCATAATCACAATTGGGGCAGAAGGACGCCCATATCCGTAAGGAGAGTGAACTACGCCATCTCAAAAATGATATGAGTCATAGCATGATGTTCTGCTTCAACACTAGACCTTGCAGCAGCAACACACTTCCTACTTCTTCAAGTTACCAGATTTCTTGATTACAAGAACAATAGCCATGAATAGAGCAACGATCAAGTAGATCATCTGTCAATCAAGATCATAATGGCCAACACTGAAATGACCTGATGGATGGTATAAGAATATATTTTTTAGACGGGTACCTTTAAAATACTGACAACAACATGGTGACTGTTAGCGGTGGTTATATATTCGATTCTTTTTTTTTTCTCTAATGCTTATGCTTTATTTGTATCTTCACCCATTCAGCAATGGAAAACATCTGAAAATTTTCTTTTCAATCCAGAGTTGTTGAATAGCAATCTATTATACATATTTGTTTTTTGGTAATATGCACAGCAGGTGATCCTAAATTATAATTTACTTGCTAGACTGCAGCAGCATCCAAAACAGTTGCTTTTGTATACATTTGTTATCACTGCTTTTTATGTTGGAACTAGATTTATTGTCTTTCAGAATACCATGGATACATATGATGTGTCTAGAATATCTGCATACCTGATATGTGCACTAGTTTCCTGAGTTCTTTCTTCTTAGAGATATTCTCACTGTTTCCAAAAGCATTGTTTCCGGTTCATTCGCTATAACAATAATAATAAACCCAATATATCTGGGGGAAAAAAATCTTGCAGGGTCTTCTATTCCTTCTGGCTTTGTGCTCTGGATTATGAGAGAAATTCCGCCTCCAGTTGTAGAAAGCAGACCTTCACAGTCAAGTGTGGTGACTTTTGTCAGGGACACAACAGGTGCACAGAATCCTCAGTGGAAGACAGCTGTAGCATCCTCACAAAGCAAGGTATGTCGATAGTCTCTTGGGGCCAATGTCATTTTTCTTTTTCATATACACTGACTGCAAGTGATTGAATTTGAATCTCCGGTCTTCTGGTAATTTTTCTCGGGTAATTTCTAGCTTTTCTCTCATCCTTTCTATTTCTCTAAGGTGTTGAACATTTGTTAAGTTTCCCATTTAAATCCCTAAGATTGCAGAAAGTTGGTTTGACTATCTTGTCACTTGAGAGCTCCATCAGTCCGCACCCTGTTAACCATTAGAAAGTTCTCCACTGCTCACAGTTCTCGTGTTGTTCTCTACAAACAAATTTTATAATAACCAAATAGTTGTGAATGTTTAGTCATTTATTGCCAAGTTCTTTATTGCAAAGCATTGTTAGTTTGTTTCATACCAATAGAACGTGCGACAAATATCACCCATCAAGCGCAGTATTTATTTACTGACTCATGCCTTGGCTTAGTAAACATCAATGATCATTTTTAAGAAAATGATAAATGACCTTGAGACAAATCCAGTGTGAGCGTTTATTATTAGTTTTCCTGTAACTCTCAAGAGGAAGGATAACACATGATCCAATGACTACAATTGCAGGCACTGAGAGCCAGTCCAATATAACTAGTTCAGTGATCTTCTGCTAATTTTCTTCGCTGTATACATTGGAGAAATTGCATTCTGAGTCGACTTGGCTGTTTCACTGATGGGACCACCTGTGGGCAAAAGGCGACAATCTAATTATAAAGCTCATCAGGTTTAACTTTTTCCTACCGGGAGAAATTATTCAAGAAGTGATCACCAAGAGATGGTTTATGAAGCATTTGATCTCATACGGGAATGCTGACTATAACATGTCAATCTCAGCTGCGATTGCCAGCCAAGATTTTGATAGTGATTCGTCTAAAGGCGACCAAATGTTTTAGTGATGTCCCTTCTACTAGAAAGAAGCTGATGTGGTAACTAGTCTGAACTAATATGCTTATACATCGAATTTGTTCTCTGTTTCGATCTTGGTGCTGTAGCTTCAAGAAGTTCCACTGTTACAAGTCTTTTGCGTTTGTATATAGCAATTGTAAATTTGCTTAGCTGGTGCCTGTGATGAGATGATCTTTGAGGCGTCAAATGTGCTCATAATGGCTGGTCTCCAAGAACATCTTTCCTCTGTAGTATGATATGTTAAACTGAGTTTGAGGTCGTCTCTATTGCTATTACTGCTGTTATTATAGCTATTGTTCTTTCTTTTCTCTTATTTTCTTGTTCTGTGATGGGTTTGTTATGTTATTTGCAGCGTCGTTGGTTGTTTACGGTTGTTTTGCTTTCGGCTTTCTGATTTCCGTTCAACGAGCAAGAATTAGGCGCTCATCGAGTTTTCAACCAATGAAATAAACAAGGGGGAAAAAAAAGATCAGAAATATTATTTTGGAAGAAAAACAACAATAGCACTAATAATAAAGAGAATAGTGTACAGTTTCCTTTGAAGATTACAGCTGTAGTTGTCCATAATCAAAGTTTTAGCTTATGAAAAGCTTCCGACAGAGAGAACCTTTGGAGTTATTTTAATTCAGGGTTACGCCCACAGTCCAAACTTTTCTCGGACACCCTCCCTTTCCCTTGTACTATAATGGAGAGCTTCCTTTTTCTCCATATTTTCGGATTCTTTTTTCTTTTATGTTGAGTTGAGCTAGTCTACTGTTAATATATTCAAAATGTGAATATTATGGACTGAATTTTAAAATTTGAAATTCAAAAATGAAAATACAAACCGGTGGATATGATCTATTACATATGAACTATTTGAAAATAAAATTTTAAAAGATTTCCACATTATTAATCCATGTATAATGTATCGTTAAAATCAATGCTTTAGAATTTTTATAATGTTACTTAATTTTTCGCCCCTTGATATATGACAAAAAACACATGGAAATTTTGCTTCTAAATAGTTTGAGTAATAGATGATGACCGTCAGTTTGGATTTTATTTTAGAGTTTCAAATTTTAAAATTCAGTTGATAGTATTCAGATATTAGATACTATTAGTAGTAGCATAACTTAGTTGGTATATATTCATGTCTTAGAGCAGCTCCAACCGGGCTGCATTTCTCCAAAATGCAGCCCGGTTGAGCTCCAACCGGACTCCAATTTTTGGAGTCCGGCTGCAAAATCAGAAGATGGGCTGCATATTTGGAGTTTTATCCTCCAAATATGCAGCCCCTCCATTTCACTATTCCCCCTCGTAAAATTTCCATTTTACCCTTCTAACTAACTAATTATTTTTAGATATTTAATTTAAAATTAATATAAGTTTATTTCTACTAATTATTTTTAAATAAAAGTTTTACAGTTGGAAATGTTTTGTCGATACCTTCAAAATGAGACTAATATTGAATAATATTAATTGAAATATAAAATTTCAATAGCCAAGTAATTAAAAATGAAAAAGTCATTATTTCATTATTAAAAAAAGTTACATCGCTTCATTTCCATGTCTTTCCCACAAATGTTCAATCAATGCATTTCGAAGTGTAAAATGAGCTTCTTTGTTTTTCAACATCTTATGTCGAGCAAGGAACCGTTGGAATCGTTTAGTTTCCGTTATCTCCGTATTTTCAGCATTCGGAATTGATTGTGGAGTTGAAATGACAACATCTTCTTGCTCGTCGCGTTTATCTTCAACAATCATATTGTGCATTATAATACAAGCAGTCATGATATCATGCAGAGTTCGTTTATCCCAAAAACAGGCTGGCCCCTTGATGATAGCAAATCGTGATTGGAGAACACCGAATGCCCGCTCAACATCTTTTCGACATGCTTCTTGCATCATTGCAAAATATTGTTTCTTTTTTATCATCGGAATTAGAAATAGTTTGAACAAGTGTTGGCCATTTTGGATATATGCCATCGGTCAAATAATAACCGACATCATAATTTTTTCCTTGAATTGTGTAATGAGCAGGAGGAGCAATACATTGTGATAGATTGTCGAACAAATTAGATGACTGCAATACATTAATATCGTTATTGGATCCTGGTAAGCCAAAGTATGCATGTCATATCCATAGATCATATGATGCTACTACCTCAAGAATAATGGTTAGACCTCTATGACGGCCTGAGTATTGTCCTGCCCATGCTATTGGACAATTTTTCCATTGCCAATGCATACAGTCTAGACTTCCTAACATTCCTGGAAAAACCTCTTTCTTCGCCCTTTTGCAACTACCTTGCAACATCGTCGACATTGGGGGTCCTCAGATATTCATCTCCATATACTTCTACAACTGCTCTGCAAAATTTCTTTAAACATACAATTGCAGTTGACTCACCGATCCTAACATATTCATCAGTACTATCTGCTGATGTTCCATAGCCAACATGCGAAATGTCGATGTAACTTTTTGTAAAGTTGATAGCCCAAGTTTGCCGACACCATCCATCTTCTGTACGAAGAAGTTGTCATGCTCACGTACCGCCTCGACTATACGAAGGAATAAACTCCTATGCATCCGGAACCTTCTACAGAATAGGTTTGCACCATATGTAGGGTTATCAGAAAAATAGTCATGGTAAAGTCGAGAATTACCTTCTTCTCTCCCGTGATTGATCACCAAATGACCAGGAACTGAGCCAGTACGCTTTGGTCGCTCTTCCTCTTGAGAGAGATAAGTCATTATTTTATTATTAGAGGCATGTACGCGAGCTAAGAGTTCATCTTCCTTCTCCCATTGTGTCATATCTTCCTCCCAATCTTTAATGTACCGAGAAAATATTTCGTCGTAAGAAGAAGAAGAAGAAGAAGAAGAAGAAGAAGGTAGATGTGACGGTCCGACTCCATAGTTCATTGATGAAGAAGTTATTTATACAAATAATCATATAAGTTGTGAGTTATTTAGAGATGGATGTAATGTCATTATATAATATGACTCCCTACATTAGATTCTTTTCAGCATTGACTTCTCAACCCCCACATTGGATTCCTTTCGTGTTGGAGACTCCCCACATTCGATTCTTTTCAGCATTGACTTCTCACCCCCCCACATTGGATTCCTTTCGTGTTGGAGACTCCCTATATTGGATTCTTTTCAGCATTGGCTTCTCACCCTCCACATTGGATTCCTTTCGTGTTAGAGACTCCCCACATTGGATTCTTTTCAGTATTGACTTCTCACCCCTCACATTGGATTCCTTTCGTGTTGTGTTGGAGACTCCCCACATTAGATTCTTTTCAGCATTGGCTTCTCACCCCTCACATTAGATTCCTTTCGTGTTGTGTTGGAGACTCCCCACATTGGATTCTTTTCAACATTGGCTTCTCACCCCAACATTGGATTCCTTTTGTGTTGGAGACTCCCCACATTGGATTCTCCTAGTGTTGGAGACTCCCCACATTGGATTCTTTTCAACATTGGCTTCTCACCCCCCATATTAGATTCCTTTCGTGTTGTGTTGGAGACTCCCCACATTGGATTCTTTTCAGCATTGGCTTCTCACCCCCAGATTGGATTCCTTTTGTGTTGGAGACTCCCCACATTGTATTCTCCTAGTGTTGGAGACTCTCCGCATTGGATTCCTTTTGTGTTGGAGACTTCCCACATTGGATTCTCCTGGTGTTGGAGACTCCCCACATCTGATCCCTGTATAATACTTGCACAATTTTATATCTCCACCACAACTCTTCTTATTCTATATTCATAACTCTTTACATTCCTCCATCATAATAGTATCATCCTGAACAACGTTATCTCCTTAGATTATGACATCTAGTCGCGGAAAATCTTTTTTACAAGAAGAAGACCAAATTTTATGCGCCACGTGGCTCGAAATTTCTCAAGACCCAGTCATGGTTCTAATCAAAAGAAGGACAAGCTGTGGGAACGAATTTCTGCTTTATTTCATGAAAGGATTTCCAATATTTGTAATGCTCAAAGGACTCCGAAGTCTCTCTCATGCCGAATGCAATTAATCATGAAGGCCATCAGTAAATTTCGAGGATGCATTCGACAAGTCGAGCGCTTAAATCTAAGCGTTGCTTCTGAGCTTGACATTGTAAGTATTTTGAATAACATAAATCTTGATTATCATCTATTATCATGTTATTAATAAATGTTTCTTCCTCTCTTCTGGTAGATTAAACATGCTAGGATAATATTTGCAGAAGATCCATAAGAGAGAAAGGGGTTTCTATTTGATCATGTTTGGTCAATTTTAAAAGATGTAGAGAAATGAGCAAATATAAGTGTCAGATCGCCTGCAACTTCCAAAACTTCAAAGTCCCGCTCATCTCAGGGATCAGATACAAGTTCTCCTGCTGTCGACTTAAATGACGATAATGAGGGATATACTCATAATGACGAAGATATGATAACAAGTCGATCGACAGGAAGGAAGAAAGAGAAGATAAGGAGGCGGCATGCAACTGAAAAGAACCTCGACTTGGAAACTCTCAATAAAAGCAATCAAGAAATTGTCGATATTTTAAAAAAAAGTCATGGACAACGAGAAAATGATAGAATGACAATGCACCAGATTATGATGTGAAGGACCGAAAATGATAAGAAAAAATTAGATATTCAAAGGGAACGACAGGAAAGTAAGATTATGTTGATTAATCTTGATATTATTACTAATCCTTCGGAACGCGAGTATTTTCGAATTAAAAAACAAGATATTTTAAATAGAAACACAACTGGAGGTTCTTCATCTGATATTCCTAATCCTGAATATAGTTATGCAGGAAGTCAATACGGAATACCTGACTACAGAAGCGGTGGATATGAAGGAAATGGCCTGCCCGATTTTTAGTTTATTTCATGTACTTTATTTTTCTATGTAATGCCGCTGAATGTAATATATAAAATTTCATCATTCGGAGTAGTTATGAAGGTTGTTCCAAATATTATGCTATATTTTCTGGTTTTTAAAATTTAAAGGCTCTTATCTATAGCTTATTATCAATTTATTAAAGCTAATTAATTTTATTTAAATAGTGAGTAAATTATATATTATAATTTTAGTATTAATTTATAATATATTTTATATTTTAAATTAATTCATATAATTTTTTTAACATTTTATATTTTTATATTTTCAAATCCATTTAAAGTATTATAAAAGCAATCAAGTGAAAATGTAATAAAGATGAGAGGTTGGCTAGGAGACTTCGCAGGGCTGCTTTTAATCTTGGTCTTTAGGAGCTCGCCAACATGAACGTTGACGCCTCTGGGGACAACTTCTCAAATGACCTCTA